CTTGCCAAACTTATGGCGCTTCTCTCTCTCTCTCTCTCTCTTTCTCTCTCTCTCTCTCTCCCCCCCCCCTCCTGCTAGATCTCTTTCACCTTCAATCCTCCTCCCTCCCTCTTGCCCCCCTCCTTTCTCGTCCCCCCTCGTTACATCGGTCTTTTCCTTGTTCTGTTTCCCCGTCCTCATACTTCAGAGGCCGTGCCTACAGCATGTGGCAGGCAAGGAAGGCATACCCCCAAAGAGGGTACGATTGAAGACGAAGAGGGCGGGCATCGAGGGGTTGGGGTATACATGGTATACGCAGCTGCAACATATACGAAGACACGCAGAGAGGAGGAGAAGGAGGAATGATGACGAAAGGGAGCAACACGAAAAGCCCAGAGACGAGAACGCCAAGGAGAAGAGACAAGGAGGCGACAAGCGACGATGGGAAAAAAGACTAACACAAGACGATGAAGAGGACGAGAGCGACAAAGGCGGTCGACGGCGGAGACCTCGTCGCAAGTTACTTAAGAGTCGCGCTCTCCCCTTGGACTTCCTCGTAATATATCATATAATCGGGGTCTCGACTCAAACTTGTCCAACAATGTCCCAAGAAACGTGCTCTCGCTCGAAGCATGATCACTTACCACATAATCGCTCTCTGATATCACACCAGTCGGACCCGCCTGGTAAGGTCCGCCCGCCTGACCCACCCATCCGGGTCCGCCCTAGCGCCCAGCCCACTCGTCAAGGTCTGCCCGCCCAAGTCGCCCGCTGGGGCCCGCGAAATCGATTGCTGGGAAGCCCGCCTGCCCGCTTGAGTGCTCCGCCCGGCCAGTCCGCCCGACCCGCATGTCAGGGGTCCACCTGCCCGGACCGCCCGAGGGTCCGCCCGCCATACCCGCCCGACCAGTTCGTGAGAGGCCGCCGTCAAACCCGCCCCTTAGGGTCCGTTTGTCTGCTTGCTTGACAACCGTCACCCGCCCGCTTTGATGTCCCACCCGCCCAGCCCGCCCAATAGAAGGCCCGGCCGCACGGCCCGCCCCATAGAGTCTGCCTGCCCGGCCCGCTTGTCGCCGGGTTTTGCCACAGATCTGGCATGGAAAAAGAAGCCCTACGAAGGAGGTGGGGTCATTCGCCAGCGCCCACGACCCGCTCGCGACCAACCCGTTGACCTACGACCCGCCCGCGACCCACCCACGACCACCCACGTTGCTTTGACAAACTAAGTTGGCGCCTGTGGCAGGCTCGTCGATTTGAGTTTCAAGGTCAGCATCGGCGGCGGTCTTTTTCAGATGTACGTTCGAGCCTCGCAAAGTGCCGACGCCCCCCACGCCCCCTCACTCGTATCCGCATCTGCGGGATTGTGTCTACGATTTCGTTCGTCGGGAACGCCTAGGCCGTCTCGCTCTGTCCGGCGAGGCTCATCCAGCGCTGGGTCCAGCGAGCGCAGGGGAGGGCTCTGCACCCAGCAGCTCGCCCAGGATGCGGGCGGCTTCCTTCTGCACGAAGAGCATCAGGTCGGGCTCTGGGTTTGACAGATTGAAGCTCGCGAAAACGAGGCATCCGAATCGCCTGGACAGCCGTTGGGCGATGGCGGAGCCAGGACCGTCGCCCTCGCCCCTCACCGTGGCAACGCTGGGAAGCGTGTCATACTTCGTCGGCGTCGCCACCTTGAGATCCCCGATGCCGAGCTCGGCGCCACCCACCCACAGGAAGACGGAGCCCTCCAACAGCGTGACGTGAAATATGACCGTGCGATCTGCGAACTGCAGCACGACGTTGTGCACGCCGAGGCCATGAGCACCAATGGAGGCGGCACCACCACCTGCAGGCTCTGAGGGAACCACGTCCGCGGGAACTACCTCCATAGCGACGCGGCAGCACAACTCATCAAAATTATACCCACATCTGCACGGCCAAGCTGAACGAACTTGGCCTTGCTCGAACCAAAACGGTTACGGAACACTTGTGTGGCAGTACAGTCGGTGTACGTGTTGAAGAACCTTGCTATAACATCTGAGGGCACACTGGTCGGTAGATCTGCGACTTCGCGGGGAGCTCACAAACTCCAACGAATGTCCGAATGTCCCAATTCGTCGGGAAATCAGAAATCCCCGTTGTGGCACCAGTCGGCAGGCTGGTCTCTTATTTGGGGTGCCTACTGTACATGAAGCTGAGTGCCAAGGTTTACTGGGCTTGACTTTCAACACGAGGGCATGACGGCTGTATGGTATCAATGTTTAGGGCGAGGCCAATTGGACAACTCAATGCACAGTGGCAATCGAAATGGCTGAGATCTGCGACGCGTGCGTGAACAAACTGCTCCGCATGACGACTTATAGGAATGAGCAGAAAGCCTCGAACGTTGAACTCGCCAAGGGAACTTCAGCCCTGGGGGGATGAGAAAAATAGCAAACTCGTGCAGTCGCGCGGAGGACCTGGACGGTAAGACAGAAATGCGCTACTGGCCCAGTCCACGTCGAACCACTCGAACATGCAAAAACACCTTCCCAACATTGTACAATCTTCCACGTCTAAGAAAAGCCCATCCGGAACAGGAAGCCCGCCACCCGTCATGCTCCCCTCCACAAACATATATTCAAACCAATGCCTCGGATCCCTCCAGGGAGTCCATCCGGTTGCGTCCAAGCGTGGCGACGAGAAACCAGCCGAAACGCCCAAACCTCCGAGGCGGCAACGTCGTCGTCGTCGTCGTCGTCGTCGTCGTCGTCTCCCCCCTCCTCCTCTCCTCCTCCTCTCCTCCTCCTCCCCCTCCCCCTCCTCCTCCTCCTCCTCCTCCTCCTCCTCCTCCTCCTCCTCCTCCTCCTCCTCCTCCTCCTCCTCCCTGAGGAGCAGCAGCAGGACGACAAGCAGAACAGGAAAAGCGAAACGGAAGCAAGATGACAGGCAGCAGGAGAAATGGCGCCAGACAGACAGACAGGCAGGCAGGTGGGGGAATGACACTAGGCGGAGGTGAAGGAAGAGCACAAGGAGGCTTCTCAGAGGGTCTGCGACGGTCTCGAGGGTTTCCCAATCCAAGCGGGGGAGGAGGAAGGCTGTCCTTCCTCGAAGTGTTCTCCTCCTCCTCCTCCTCCTCCTCCTCCAACTCGAGGCTCGAAGCTCGATGAAACGGCCCTCGCTAGACTCGGCCGCTTCCGACCATGGGCGCTGGGCGCTGGGTGCGCCCAAAAAGGACCCCCCAACCGCCCCAGGATATGTAACTTCGATCCTCCTCCTCCGCCGACCAAGCTCAGCTCACAATCTGTCCACGGACCCCTCCCACGATCCCTCCCGAAGGAGGCCTACATAATCAATAAGATGCACACATACCTCATCCATCTCCTCCGTCTTCCTCTGGCTCCTCATCCTCGCCGGCCTCCCCGAACCTGTATCCTCATCGATCCTCTTCGTTCCCTGAATCATCGACCTCCCTCCTCCTCCTCCTCCTCCTCCTCCTCATCCTCCTCCTACTCAACATCCTAGATTGTCCTCGCTGGCCTCCTCGAGCTGGTATCCTCATCGATCCTCTCCGTTCCCTCGACCATCGATCCCCCTCCTCCTATTTCCTCCTCTTCCTCCTCATCCTGCTCCTACCACTCCTCCTCATCCTCCTCCTCCTCCACCTCCTCCTCCTCCTCCTCCTCCTCCTCCTCGTCTCCTCCTCCTCCTCCTCCTCCTCCTCCTCCTCCTCCTCCTCCCCTCCTCCTCCTCCTCCCCACTCCTCCCTCCTCCTCCTCCTCACACCACTCCTCCTCCTCATCCTCCTCCTCCTCCTCCTCCTCCTCCTTCTCCTCCTCCTCCTCCTCCTCCTTCTCCTCCCCCTCCTCCTCGCCCCTCGCCTCAGTCCTCCCTGATGGGGAGCGGTCCTCGCTGGACTCGGCGCTCTCGGGCGCCGGGCCGCCGTCTGCGGGCCGCGGCCGCGCGCTTCGCAGGCGCGTGGTCCCCCTCCTCCTCCTCCTCCTCCTCCTCCTCCTCCTCCCTCCTCCTCCTCCTCTCCTCCTCCTCCTCTGTCTTCCTCCTCCTCCTCCTCCTCCTCCTCCTCCTCCTCCTCCTCCTCCTCCTCCCTCCTCTGTCTTCCTCCTCTTCCTCCTCCTCCTCCTCCTCCTCCTCCTCTCCTCCTCCTGCTCAGTCTTCCTTCTCCCTCCTCCTCCTCCTCCCCTCCTCCTCCTCCTCCTCCTCCTCCTCCTCCACCTCCTCGTTCCTCCTCGTTCCTCCTCGGTCATCCTCGGTCCTCCCTCGGCCCTACTCCGTCCTCCACCCAAGGTCCTCCTGCTCCGCCTGGGCCACCTGACTGTAGGGGCCACGGACAAGGAACGAGGCTCCTTGTGGGCCTTGGCCCAGGTGTTCGAGGAGCGTTGGGAAGACCCGCAGAGAGTGGCAAGGAACATAGAGCCACTTTCACCATTTCCCTGAGTTTGGGAGGCCAGAAGCGACGACACTCTTAGAGATGCACCCTGAGAAATCGCGGGGATCCTTGAGATCGACGCCAAGGAAAGGTGATGCCGATCATGCAGGCAGGGATGTATTTTAGGGTGGTAGCCCTTCAAATACACCTGGACCTTTGACAGCGTGATTTGTTTCTCAATGCGGGCCCCGGGAGGTCCCTGCCTTTTCCCCGGGACTGGCACTTCGTCCCGAATAGGTATTCGACACTCCCGGGGCTCACTGAGGGTCCCGAGACCCAACATTGCGCCAAAAACCGTCCTCCCCCCACGACGCGAAGAGGACTGGCTTCTGGACCACAGCTCGGGCCTCTGGTGGACGCTCGGGACGATCCGGGCACCTCGGGAAAACGCCCTCGGCGAGGCGCAGCTGCTGGCCAAGCAGCCGGCGACGCCCGTCCTCGACGCGAGGGAGTCTGGGTGGCCGGCCGCAGCACGGAGAGATCGAGCGGGTGTCCCGCGGCGGGGGTGGCTGGGCTGGGCTGCCCGCCTGCGGCCGGCGCGGCCAGAGGCGCCGGCCTGCGGCCGGCCTCCTCCTCCGAGCCAGCGCGCCTCCGCTTCTTCTTCTTCTGCTTCTTCCTGCGCGGGGGCGCTGGCTGCTGCAGCGGGCGAAGGTCGGCATACGATGCAGCGGAGGCCAGTCCACAAGAGACCTTCCACGAGAAGCCCAACCCTGAGACCCCAGGACGCCCGCTGGTTCTTGGTGTGGGAGCGTCACGCCTGCCGTCGCAAAACCATCGAAGACCCAAAACCCAGGGCACCCTGGAGGCGAGCAGCGTGTTTCTTGGCATGGCCCCCCATTGTATCATCCACAAGCTTCCCCGCGATCGAAGGCGCCTCTTCCGTGCAGGGCGGCGGGGAAATTGATGCCCCTGCGGCCTGGGGCATACACGTCCCAGCCGCCCTGCAGCAGGTGCCCTCGATCGCGGAAGGAATTGCACCAAGGGCTTTTAGGAGATCGAACACTGACATAACATAAACTTCTGAGGTCCGCGCGGATTTCTCGGATCCGCGCTGGACTCCCATAGCGGCGCCTCCGGCGCTGCACCTGGCGCGCTCCGCGAGCCAAGGAGTGGGTCCAGCGCGGATCCGAGAAATCCGAGCGGACCTCCGAGTTGTTTTATGTTTATGTCATTGTTCGTTCCCCTAGCTTTGGATAGGGGACAATTGGGTAAGGACACCAGGGCCTGGAAGCCGGGGGGATTCCGATCGTAGATTGGCCCTGGAAGTCACCGCCGCCCTCACCAAACGTCGGCGTCGGAGGGGGGGGGAGTGAGAAGGAGAAGGCCTTCTAAGAAGGTTGGCATTCTGAGGAGTTTTCTAAGCCTTCCCCGAAGACCAACAAGAACTGTTCAGAAGGCGCGAGGGCTCCTGAGAAGCCCCGACGCCTTCTGAGAAGGCCTCCTCCTTATCGCGTCCCCCCACTCGCCCGCCGCCGGAAATGGCATCAGACAAGACCAACAAAAACCTCCTGAGCACATTCCTTGACCCCAGACCCCCGACGTCACGATTTTTCCATCACGTCGACCCCTGCCTGGAGGTCTCGATCCGTTCCCTTGGACCGGTTTTGCATACTGGGTCGTTTTCTGACGGCCCCGAGGGCCGGTAAGGGCCCCCAGAGGCCGAACATGGCAAAACAAGCCCGTCCTGATTTTTTTAACCACGCGATCTTGGAGGCCTGGAAATGGGCACCAACACCAACACAGGGTTTTGCCTCCACAGGGGGGAGATGATCTTAGATTTCTTCGGTGTTGGTGGCAATATTTCGGCCACCCTGGGAGCCAGAGTATGACCACCATCACCGAGATCGGGATCCTCTTCCCTCGGTGGAGGTAACCCGCCGAAATTGGTGTTGGTGTCAACCTCTAGGCCTGCGACGATCGTGTCTGGGTCTTGACGAACTCGAGCACGGACCGACCGCCCCGGCATTCCTATAGTCACACCACGAAATGTTCTTAGAACCCAAAAATGTTCTAATCCCACCAGCCCTCTGGGCGTAGGTGGTCTAGAGCAGATCCTCTTCCACCCCTCCCTCTTCCCCCTTGGGGAGTGGTTTACCCCTCCCCCTACCCCCTCCCCTGGACCTGGACGGGGGGGGCCGCGGGTAGTTAGAGCGTCCAAGATGGCCCAAGACGGCTCCAAGAGCGCCTCAGAGAACCCAAGATGAGCTCCAAGATGGCTCAAGATAGCGCAAGATCGCTCACGATGGCTCCTAAGATGGTTCCAAGAAGCCCAAAGACGGCCCCAAGATAACTCCAAGTGGCCAAACAGCTCCCCAAGGAGGCCCCGAAGAGGCCAAAATCGTCCCAAAACCTAAGGAAAATCAATGATTTTTGCTTTCTCGCCTTTTCGCTTCCGATGGCCATCCGAGGCCTGGAGATGGCTCCAAGATGGCCCAAGAGGGCCCCAAGAGAGCCCCAAAAGAGCCCCAAGACGGCCCCAAGAGCGCCCAAGAGCACTCCAAGAGCGTTCCAAGAGGGGTCCAAGAGGCGATTTTAGGGGCTTCCGAGGGGGGACGCTAATTAAACCCCCCCTCTTGTTTGATCGACTCCCTCCAAGATGGCCCCAAAAGCGCCCCGAAGGCTCCCCAGAGCGCCTCAAGAGGGTCCCAAGAGGCGCCCAAGATGCCCCAAGGCGCCCAAAAAGCCCTCCAAGAGGCCCTCAAAAGACCCCCAAGAAGCTCCTTCCCCTCCTCCTCCTCCTCCTCCGATTCTTCCTCCTTCTCCGTCCTCCTCCTCCTCCTCCTCCTCCTCCTCTTCCCCCTCCTCCTCCTCCTCCTCCTCCGACGACGACGACGACGACGACGACTCCTCTTCCATCCTCCCCCTCTCGGGGTCTGTGACAGCTTCCCCCGCCCTTTGTTATTCTGCATGCTCCCCGACTTCCCTGATCACCTCAACTCCCCTGAGCATCGTTTCTGGATGGGCTGGTGGGGATACGCGAAGCGTCAACAATTACCAAAACAATGTTCTTAAAACGTAAATCCGATGCGCTAAAACAAGACAGTCCCAGCCAGAAATGCTCTAAGAACCTTTCGTGGAAACCACACAAAAAGGTCTTTACAACATTGCTTGGTGGGGCTATAGGCGAGCCGGGACGCTTCGCCACTGCTTGACGAACGCCCCCGCCGTGCCCCCTGGGGCGCCGCGGCGCCCCCGCACGCCCCGGCCGGCCCCGGCGCGCGAGGCGCGGCCCCGCCGCTCCAGGGTCGCCCAAGTGGGGGGCCGGGGCCGACCGCCCGAGAGGCCGCCGCCGCGCCTCCGTGCGCGGGGCCTCGGCCCCGGAGCACCTCGGGGCCCTCCTCGCGGAGGCTTCGAACCGAGGATCGGCTGCAGAACCCAGACAGGATCGCGTCGCAAGATTAAAAGATCAGGACGGACGGTTTCTCGCCACTTTCGGCCCCCAGGGGCCCTCGCCGGGACCCGGGGCCCTCGCCGGGACCCGGGACAGTCAAAAAACGGCTCGGGACGAAAAGCAGGTCCTGGGGAAAGGGTCGGGACTTTTTCGGGACTCCTGAAACATTCAGGACGTCGCATGTCTGGGCGTTGGTCTACCACAAATTGGAGTTTCTCGTCGATATCTGCGAACCATACGTGAGCGACGCTCGAAGACGGGTCTTACGCGAGATGACGTAGCTTAGCGACCTTACGCGGCGGCTTACGCGGGCCGCCGGAGCGGCATGCCACATTCGGAGCGACGGCGCCTAAGTACGCGCGAGCTTGCGCGGGCAGCTTACGCGCCAATGTCGTTTTTTTTTTTTTGTTCTGGCGCCGCTCACGTGGAATGAAATACAGACAACCTGCACACGAGCATCTCCATGTTGGGGGAACCCAGTTCTGGAGTCGATCCCCTGCTCGAAAGTTGAGCGCGGCTGGTGCTAGCGATTTCGGCGAGGCAGTCCCGAGGGTGGGCTCTGCAGGAAGCGCGGGCGATGCTGGCATGGAGTTGGGCGCGTCCCCCTCTACAGGAGGAGCGCTCAAAAATAGCGCAGGATCGCCCGGGGATGACTTTTTGCGTCTGTCTGAACAGTTTGCCTTGCGATTGCTTGACTATGTTGTAACTTTCGTCCCAAATCCGCCCGCAGTGGGGGCACACGAGTTCTTCAAAATGGGAACGACACGATTCAAACCAAGTTTCGCGGGGGGAACGCGATAGGACACGAGTGGACCGCGCGCTCGCGGCGACGCTCGAGGGCGTTCGGGGCCGCGCGCCGCCGCTCGAGGGCGCGAGGCCGGGCGAGGCAAGCCGGCCTCGGCGGGCGGCGAGGGACGGCGGGCGGCGGCCGCCTGGCGGCTGCGGCGGCCGGCGGCGGCGGCGAGGGGCCCCCCGGCCCTGGCCGTGGGCTTACGACGAGGCGGGGGCGGGGACAGCTGCGGAGGAGAGAGGGGCCCAGGGAGACACGAAAAGATAGAGACACGCATCCCAGGATGCCCCATCTGTTCACGCATGTGCTTTCTGTGGTTTTCGTCCTCCCCCCCGCTTCCCACAGTTTCCCATATCTTCCTGGGAGACGATGATTGGATTACTTGTGTCTGTGTGTGTGTCTGGTCCTGGGATAAGGATCAGTCGAGAATCTCTGAGGTCTGGAGGATGTCTCGGGCGCCGCGGCCTTCTCGGATAGAGGGCAAAAAATATCCACCCCCTGAAGGACCACCCCGACAAGCGAAGCCGTTTAGTAAACGCACCCAAAGAAAGGCATCGAACAAGGTAGGGCTGGTCAGTACACGCCCAAGGCCGTTCAGTAAACGCTTATCATCGAATCCAGGTGGTTTTTCTTCCCTTATAGTGTGAACCTGCATTTTTCACACTCCGGCAAGTTTACTTGCATTGACGGGGGGGGCTTGAACCTAAGTAAGCCGAACAACGACCTGCACGTGCGGAAACCACGCAAGTCGAAAGGCAATTGCACGCCAGCGTTCGCCAGAAGAGGGGCGAGGGGAAGGGGGGGGGCAAACGCTATGATGCAAGCAAACTTGCCCGAATCGTTCTTGTATTTGGACGCCGAAATGGGTACGGAAAGAATGGGTACAATGCACAACAACAAATGTTGTCCCAAACCAACAGCGGCCGCTGTTGGGCAGGCGGCCTCCTGTCTCGAATGGACACAGGCCGCGGCGGCGCGGACAGCGAGTCCTGTTCAAAATGAACAGGAACTGCTATTGGGCATTGTACCCATGCTTTCAGTACCCATCTCGTGCGTGCAGATTGTAAGTGTTTGAAAGAGGGCGCTCTGGAACGGATCTTTGACCCTCGCCCTATGGCCCCGCCCGACGGCTGCCCGAGCTCCAGGAGGGGCCTCCCTGCCGGGCGGGGCCGCGACGAGGCCGGCGACGGCGCGCAGACGGAAGTCCCGTCCCACCTGCTGGGGCTGTCCTTCGCCTGCCAGTGGGGGTCTCGCCATCGCTCCGACGTCCATTCCTTGTGTATTTTTAGATTTCGCGCGTGTTTTTTCGCCAAATGGTCAAGGATGGTCCTCGATGGCCGTCGCCGCGAAAAAATGCACACGTCCGAGCGATGCCAGGGGGTCTGACTGCTGGAACTCAGGATCAGCAAAGGGCAAACTAAAGAAGACCGATGAT